TTTACTGAATAGTGAGGTTTTGTTACTTTTTGATAGATTTATTTTTATTGCAAAGTCAAGATTTATTTTATTTTTATTGTATTTCAAAATTTTCTAGTTTTAAAAAGATGTATTTTTATTGCAAAGTCAGATACACAAAGAAAGAAAAAGCTTATTAGGGAGTTTGCTCTCTTTTATTATTTTTATGGAAATTTACTATATTTAAATTGGTTTTTATTGCAAAGTCAAGATTTGCTGTTTTAAAGACATTTATTTTCATTTCAATCGCTTATGGAAAAACAAGCTTTTTCAGATTGGTTACTTTTTAAAAGATTTATTTTTATTTCAGTCAAGATTTATTTTATTTTTCTTGTATTTCATAATTTTTTTATTTTTTAAAAGATGGATTTTTATTGCAAAGTCAGAAAAAAGCTCATTTTCAAGTTTATTATGTTTTAAAAGAGTTATTTTCTTTTTTCAAAGTTTGATCTTTTTGAAAAGTTTTGTTGGATGGGAAGTGGAGCCGCCACCGGGATTCGAACCCGCAACACTTACTTTTTGGTTGAGGACTTGTGCCGCGAGGCTGCCATGCCAGACCCACTTTTAAATTATGATTGATTGTTTAAATTATGATTAATTTTAAATTATGAGTATTCTAAATTATTATTTTGTGTTATTTTTTCTTTTTTAATTTTGTGGTTTTAAAATTTTTTTAATTAATTACATTGCATGTGTGACACAGTGTTATAGGTACTGGGATTCCCCCCACCCCTCCCCAATCCCTCTCCCCATGGTGGATTCCTCCACCTTGTTGCATTACCACAGTTCAAATTCAGTTGAGATTCTTTCATTGCAAGCATATACCAAGCATAGAGTCCAGCATCTTATTGTCCAGATAAATTCCACGGCTTGTTGGGGAGACCATCTCTGGTTTGAAGGTAGAGCCGGCAGAGTATCATCTCGGTCCATTAAAAGTCCCAACATAACATCAGCAACAATTTATAACATTGTGGAATTAAATGACATAGTATTGAGTAACCAATATATTAAAAATAAAAAAAGTAAGTTCTTAACCACATCCTGTGAATTCTTCATTGACATTTCAATTTTAGTTTATATACAACCGGGCTCTATACACCTTAAAATGGCTATAGATTACTATTCAGTTGTCTCGTGTGTATTTTCATTATAGTATTTAGTATTTTATAGCGTTGAAACATAATTTTGCCTAATGAGGCTTTTTTTCGGGTAGTCTAGACTGGCTTATAACTCTCACATGTCAACAGTTTAGATGCAGAACAGTTTTAGGAGGGGTGTGCAGAGAAATCTATACCCTAGTGAGGAGTATCTAAGCTTTGTGTCCCACCCAGTGAGTTATAAGTGCATCCCCGCTGACCGTTTCCTGTCTGATTCCAAGCTTTCCTTGTTGTTCTCTATCTATTCTAGATTTTTTATTTGTTTGTTTGCTTGTTTTGAGGAATTTCCGGAGCGACCCTGATGGTCATTGCCAGACAGGGTGGGGACCCAAAGCTGGAACCAAGCGAGGACCAGAGAAAGCTCCCCTCCCTAGTCCCGAAGGAAGTTTACTGTTCTGTTTCTGCAGGCTGCTCAGGGCTCCTGGCTGTTGTTCTGATGCCCCTGGATCCTGTGAGGAAGGATTTGGATTTCTTCCATTCATGTGGTAGATCCAAAAGAGGGTGGATGACCTCAGAGTTCTTGGCCTCTGAAGGCACTCCAATTCCCCGTGGTCTCCTTGGTGGTTGGGATATAGTCCTTGGTTCCCGTACTGATGGTCCTTGGTGAGGATCCTGGAGTCTCCAGGGTCGGGATACAGACTCCTCCTGTCCCCCTGCTCCACTCTTGGGTACCCGCCCCCTGCTCTGTGCATATGACCTCCTGTTAAGAGGTTGTCAGGATCGCTCTTGATTCCCGCTACATGTATGTCTTTGTAGTTTCACTACTGTCTAATGGTGATTCGTGCCTGTTGTCTGAGTTACCAGTTACGATCCTGGTAGGTTATATGTCATGTCTTCTTCACACATTCTAGGGAGATGGAAGTGTTAGAGTGTGGGTAAAATGTTATTGTTGGGCAGTGTGAGGTTCCTTTGTGTAGAGAAAACTGCTACTTTGCCAGGCCAGGAGGCGCCTGGACTTTGAGAGGATTCCACTTTAGTGATAAATCTGTTCTTTGCTGTCCTGCAACTGTGTGAACCCAGGTGCAGGAGAGGCAAGGGCACAATTCTCCGGCCCCAGGAACAGGAGGAAGATAAGGGTGTGAGAATGGGATGAGCCATAAAGATAGTGGGTATGGGAAGGGAACAGGCTCCCTGTGCCTGAAGGCCATAAAAATGAACATGTCTAAGGTTGTTATTTTTGATGTATTTCCCAGCCCAAAAGGGCCCATATAAACTTCTGTCTTGGGCTGTTCAGTCCGACTGCCCAGCTTGGCTGGCCTGTGTGCCCCAAGTGCGGTCTGGCCCCAGCATGCTGCTGCAATAAACTCTGTTTGCTGTTTGCATTACCAGTGAGACTCTTGTCGTTCTCTGGGGGTTGACTAGCTCACACCCTGACGTCCGGGGGCTTTAGCCCGGACTCTAACGCAAGATTTCTCTGCTCTCCCGCCCCATTACAGAATAACATAGGATATTAAAAGTATGTTAGGTTTTACAGTTCGTTGATGTAGATCATATAGCAATCTGACTCACATTTGATTGTTGGTACAATGGTTACTTCACAATATCTTATTGCATGTGAGATGGGCTGTTTGAGGTTGAGGTAATATTACATTTTACAGGTACTGTTTTTCATATTGACATCATTTCATCTTAAATCAAGGCAAACATGTGGTTTCTAACCTTTTGGGATTGGCTCATTTCCTTTAGCATTATGGTTTCCAGTTGGGCCCAATTTTGTGTTATTTTTAAATTATGATTAATTTTGTGTTCATTTTGTATTCTTTTTTAAATGATGATTGATTTTTTAAATATTGTGTTATTTTTAATTATTATTTTTAAAAATTTTGTGTTATCCGGAATGCTCCGGAATGTTCCCCTTATGACCCTGTGGCTCAGAATCCCGTGGTGTTCCGACCTACGACCCTATGGAGACCCCAAGAGCAGGTCTGACCCCAACTGTTTGTCCTTATAATTTAACATGAAATGAGCTCTCTGTTCTGATGTTTAAAGTTTAAATTATAATTTAAAATTTAAATTAGTTGTCTGTTCTTGGGTTTAAAATTTAAATTACATCTTTGTGCTTCTGTTTAAAATTTAAATTATGATTTAAAATTTAAATCAGCTCTTGGTTCTTATAATTTAAAATTTAAATTCCCATTTTAAATTTAAATTAGCTCTTTGTTCTTGGGTTTAAAATTATCAACGGATAGGCTGATTGATCGGCCGGTTGATCGGGGTGATCAATCATTGGAGAGGCTGACAGATCAATGCACAGGTAGACTGATCAATGGACAGATGGATCCATGGGAATGCATCAATTGATCAATGGATGGATAGATATTGATACATAGATTGGTTTATTCATAGATGGATCAATCAATGGATGGATTGATCATTAATGTTGATCTGTTTTAATTTCCTTTCATTAATTGACCTGATTATCAATTTATTGATTTCCTTATCAATTTCTTTATTTCCTTCTGTTCATCAACCTGATGATGGATTTATTTTTTGGTTTATTGGTTTCGTTGCTATTTCCTTCTGTGAATAATTGAGCCGATCATCAATTTATTGATTCTGTTCATTGACCTCATCATAGATTTATTGGATTTATTGATTGGCTTTTCAATTCCCTTGTTTATTTTCCTTCCATTAACTAACTGACCTGATGATCGATTTATTGATGATCTTGTGGATCGATTTCCTTATTGACATCCCTGTGACTCCAGTTGGCCGATCCACAGACGGATCCCTGTGTAATAATCTGTTGATCGCCTCAGGCTCGAACCTCCTTCTGCTGATTGACCCGTCAATTGACCCATAGCTTTGTATTGATCGACCCACCAATCCTGGATGGATGCAATTGATCTGCTTGTTATCTGATTGGCTGCCAACGACTGGCCTGTTCATCGATCTGCTGGCTGGTTTCCAATTGATCTGCTGATTGCTTTTTATCAAGATGTTGGTTGATCTGATGATTTATTTTATTGATCTGATCGATTTTTATCGTTATGTTGATTGATTTTTTACTGATCGACTGACTTATTGATTTTTATTAACATGTTCATTGATTTTGTTGATCTACTGATTGAATTGATTGAATTATTGTTCTGCCGATTTTTATCCAGATGTTGATTGACTTTTTATGTCTGGTTGATTTTTCTGATTCCAGTTCCTTCTATGAAGCAGCCTGTTCAGCTATTTATTGATTGGCTCATTGATGATTCTTAAATTGATTATTGATTATTAACATGTTCATTGATTGAATTGATATTCATTGACGTGCTCATTGATTTTTTATTGATCTGATTTTTATTAATTTGTTGATTGATTTTTATTGATCTGATTGCTTATCAAGGTTGATTTATTTTCCTATTGATCTATTTGAAATTCATTAACATGTTCATTGATTATTTTATTGATCAGATTGATTGATGTTTGTCAATCTGATTGTTTTTTATCAAAATGCTCATTGAGTTTTTTATTGATCTGCTCATTGAATTGATTGATCTGCTGGTTTTTGTTGAACTAATCTTATTAAGATTAATTCTTATTAAGATTAACTAATTCTTATTAAGATGTCGATTGTTTTATTGATCTATTGATTTATTAATACATTGATTAACTTTTTTATTGATCTGATCGGCTTCCTTGAGACTCAACTTCCTTCTGTCAACTGGCGTGTTAAGCTGCTTATGGATCTGCTGATTGATTATCATTAAGATATTGATCAATTTTTTATTGGTCGGCTTATTTATTATGAAGACATCGACTTTTTTTATTGATCGACTCTTTGATCTTTATTCAGATGTTTATTGACTTTTTTATTGCTCTCTCCCGGTGCAGGCGCCCTGTTCAGGCCCCAAGAGCCGCCATCCTTCCTGTCCCCGTCCCCGCCATCGCCCCGCTGGGCCCTTGCACTGCCTGGCCTGTGGCTCCTGTACGTGGCGGCGTCTCTGGCGCTCAGCCTGGCGCTCAGCACATCGTGGCGCGTCTGGGAGCTCCACAGCCATAAGGTGCCTGTCATCTCCTTCGGCCTCTGGGAGGCCGTGTACTGGCTCCGGGTGCCCGTGGGTGTTGCCGCGGGCAACAACTCCATCAATAACATCACGACAGGAAATGAGTCCAGCAGTGTGGACAGCACGGCCATGGAGGCCATGGAGGGCGTTGCCGTGGGCAACATACCTGGTAGTGACATCACAACAGGAAACACATCCCGTGGTGTGGACCGCATGGCACAGGCTCTCACGGCGGCCCCAGCCCCAGCGACTCCGGCCCTGACAACCACAGCCCGGCCTGTCCCCGTGCCTACAACCTACGTGGCCCTGCACTCGCCCCTGGAGCGCTCGGGGTGGACGGTGCCGGCCGAGCTGGCGCTGGGCCGCGAACTGGTGGTGCTGGGCTGCACGCTGCACGCTGCCGGCCTGGCCTTCCACACAGCTGCGCTCGCTGTCGCTTGGGCTGCGCGCCCTCGTCGCCCCGGCGACCACCCACCCCTGAGACAAGATCGGCATACGCTCGGCAACGGCTCATCCCGGCAACAAAATCATCGCCTTGGCAACGGCTCACCCAGGCAACCATATGATCACCTTGGCAACCACTCACCTCAGCAACCACAGGATCCCCTTGGCAACTGTCCTCGGTGTCCCCAAGCCAACGACCCGCCCCGCCACCCCCAGCGCGCCCGGCCCCACACGTTCCCGGGCTTCGTGCGCCTGTACCGCGCGCTGGGCGCTGCGTGCGTGGTGGGGGGCGCGGCGTGCGTGGCGAGCGCGGTGACATGGAACGCGCACGCCGACCTGACGGGCCGCACGACGCTGCGCCCACCGCCCGGCTTCCCCGCGTGTCTCCCCCCAGCCTGTCCGCTGCGCCACGTGCGCTTCACCCATGTCCTCCCGCTAGGCCTCGCCGTGGCCACCGCCGACCTCGCTGCCATCGCCGCTATGGTGCTCGCTGACGCACGCCCCACACCGCAACGGCCCCGGCGACCCCACAGCCCGCGGCCGAGCCAGGCGTGAACGGGATTCTGGGACTCAGGGCCTGTTCTCGATCGGTTATCGGCTATTATCAATCAATTATTGGTTATTAATCAATTATCGGCTATTGTCTATCAATTATCGGTCATGGCTGCCTGTTAGCAATAGGTCATTGCTTATTATCAATTCATTATCGGTTATTATAAATCAATTATCCGTTTTATTAAGCAATCATTCGTTTTGTCAATTATTGGTTATTAATAAATTATCAGTTATCAATCAATTAATGGTTGTTGCTGCCTGGTATCAATCAGTTATTGCTTATTATCAGTCAGTTATCAGTTTAATCAATTATTGGTTCTTATCAATCATTTGTATTTATCAATCAATTATTGGTTGTGAATCAGTTATCGGTTATTATCAATTATCAGTTACTGTCGATCAATTGTCGGTTATTATCAATCAATTATTTGTTATTATCAGTCAACTATTGGTTAGTAATCAATTGACAATCTATCGATCAATTATTGGTCATTGCTGCCTGTTATCAATTGTTGATTATTATCAGTCAATGATTGGTTATTGGTTCGTGTCATGACTTTACACTCGGTACATGTTGTCAATCAATTATTGGCTTTGGGGACTCAGTTCCTATTATCAATTAATGGTTTTTGGTTATTGCTTCTCATGATTTTAGACTCAGGATTGTTATGAATCAATTATTGGCTATTGGTTACTGTTATTAATTATTGGTTATTGGTTCTTGTCTGAGGGTTTTAGACTTGGTACCTGTTATCAATCAATTCTCGGTTATTGTTTATTGGTTCTTATGATTTTAGACTCAGAACCTTTTGCCAATTAATTATTGGTTATTATCAATCAAATATCGTTTATTGGTTCTCTTCTCGATTTTGGACTCAGGACCTGTTATCAATCAATTATCCATTATTGGTTATTGCTTCTCCTTAGTATCAATGAATTATTGGTTATTATCAATTATTGGTTATTGAGACTCAGGACCTGTTATCAATCAATTATCCGTTATTGATTTCTGATGGTTATTCGTTATTGCTTCTCATGATTTTGGACTCCGGGCCTATTATCAATCAATCAATTACTGGCTGTAGGTTATCAATCAATTGTGGGTTGTTGATTCTCGGTCGTTCCATACGCATTGATTATTGGTTATTGTTTCTTATCTCACCAAACCTTCTCATCATTTTGGACTCTGGACTCATTGTTGATCAATTATTGGTGACTGATCGCTTGTGAATCACCCAATATTCACGTAATTTTGAACTCTTTATTGATCAATTAGTGGCGACTGATCACTTGTGAATCACCCAATATTCCCATAATTTTCGACTCAACTCTTTATTGATTGGATATAAGTGACTGATCATTAAAATCACCAAACCTTCTCATGATTTTGGACTCTCATTATTGATCTACTATTGGTTCCTTATGATGGGTTGCTGGTTATCATCTACTGATTATTGATTATGGATGATCTTCCTTCTGTCGCCAAGCTCAGTGTTTCTCATAGCTCGATGATCGCTTATTGATGATCAGTTATTGGTTATTGGTTATATGGCATTGATTATGATCTGTGATGGATGATTCATTTGCTTCCTGATCACTTGAATCCTCGGGGCATCGATTGGACCATGACTATTAATGATTATTGGTCCCATCTCTCCCACAATCGAGAGTAAATCAATCCTCGGATATTCCCGATCCCCAAGTCTTTGGGAACCGTGATGGGTCAGTTATTGGCGATTGGTGAGCAGTCATCACTCCTTATCAGTTATTGATCCATTATCAGTTATTGATAATCAGTTCCCGCTGACAGATCACGACAACAAATCACACAATCATGATCATTTCCGATGATCGGTGATGGATCGGTTCTTGGTGATGGATCAGCCCTCATGTCGGACATGTCGATTATTGGTTATTGACAATCAGCTCAGACAATCAATCATGAACAACAATGAATCCCCCCGTGCCGGAGTCCAGCTCCAGCTGAGTTCGGAACTCAAGAAGGGTGTGTGGATGAGGCGTAAAGAGGAAAGAAATGGACCACTACGATTTCATGATCATAACGGACAATGCAGGAAAGCTGTCTGCTTTATTTATACAGAAACATTCAAACTCTGACTCAGACTTTGTACGTCATGGCCAAGTGGGTGTTTCTAAGGATAATTCTGCCATTTGTTTTACCTAAAAACAATACAAGCTCCTGCTATTATTCTACAACTTAATCTTGTATCACAAAGAAAAGGAGAACCTAAAGATCAAGGAAAAAATGAAACCCTAAATATAGGTCCCTTGATTAGCATAAGGTCAATGGGGAAAGCCAAGACAGTACGAATAATAGAATGCCCTTTTGCAAGACATTATTACTGACATTAACCTCCAAGCTCACATTGAGTAAAAAACCCAACTCCATAGTAGCAAACAATGCCTGAATGGATTATAATTCTTCTGCAGGGTGGTCCGGTGTCCATGCAAAGGAAGGTGGAGCTGCATTCAGGTATCTGTAGAAACACCGGTTGGGCCCTGCCATGAGGCAGGAAGTTCCTTGTGGCCCTGCCTGCAATGGAACAATACTCTTCACACCTTCGTGTCCCTCAACATCCCCAACACCCGTGACGATTTCCAACTGACTCTCTGTTATTGATCAGTTATTGGCTGTGGATGAAGCAAAGCATCGTCATTTCTGATCCTCGTTACCTGTGATTTCTGCTGATGGATCGATCATTGGTTATTGATGACTGGTTCTTGGTGATGGATCAGCCCTTACGTCCCTTACATCACTGGGGGATTCGATTATAGGTTAGTGATGATCTGTTCTTGGTGATGGATTGGTCTTCACGTCAGTTTGATCGGTTATCATTTATTGACGATCGGTTCTTGGTGACTGATAGGCCTTTACGTCGGTTTGATCAGTTATCGGTTATTGATCATTGGTTCCAGCCTTTCCCCATTCGATCTGACGCTGCAACAATCGGCAATGATCAATCAAGCTCTGGCCCCGCGTAGCTCATCAAGTCACAATCGGCGAGCAATTGATCTAATGACAGCCAGTGAATTATTGATGATTTCTGACGATCCGCAAAGGACCGACTGCCAAGTATTGATGATGTCAGGCCTGGCTGTCAATGTTATTGATGATTTCTGCTCATCGGTGAAGAACCAATGGCCAATTATCAGTTCTTCAGTATCTGACAGGCTGTGATGGAAGGTTATTGATGAGTTATCAATCCTGGATCACCAACAAATGGCAGCCACCCATCGATTATTTCTAACTCTCACCTTGTCTGATATCAATTGGTTATTGATCCATTATTAGGTGATTATCACCTCTGCTTCTTATCACTTATTGACCCGTTATCGGTTATTGATCTGTTCTAACGTGATTATCAGTTCTTGCTCTTTGTCGGTTATTGATGCATTATTAGATTCGTTATTTATGACTGAGGACCTGGGATTGGCAGTGAGGGGTCAGTTATCAGTTATTGATGATCATTTCTTCCTCCTTATTGGTTATTGATCTGTTACCAGTTATTGATCTGTTACCAGTTATTGATCCATTATTAGGTGATTGATGATTAAATCTTGCTCCTTATCAGTTATTGATCCAGCATTAGATTCGTGAGGCCTTGCTCTCTCCTAGGTCCCACCCACGCCTAGGTCCTGCCCTCCCGCACACAGGCCCCACCCACCCCAAGATTTGGTTTTTCCCCCCTGATTTATTAAGGCACATCATTTGTAGTGATTAGAGTCACTGTGATCTTGATTTACATATGACAATTTTTTTTTTGCCCACACATGTGCTGCTTGACTTGGCTTTCTAGAGAAAGCGAAATAATAAAGCCGCTGAGTATCCAGAGGCTTCTGCTTTCTAGCACACACTTTGTGCATCGCAGCCACACCCCCGAACTTCCTCACTGATTTCCTTGCTTTCACAGCATAATGTGGAGTGAGAAAGCCAGAATGAGGCTTGGGAAGACAGGCCCAAGGCCTGGGAAGACAGTCAGTGGCATGGGCTGAGGGGTTCTAATCTTTGACTCCAACACCAGTGTCTGCTCAAAGAGTACTTTGTTTTTCTGAATTTCCTTAGGACACACTGTCATCTTCCATGTTAGCACCAACAGCTAGAGGGGGAGTTGACTCAGCTGCTTCTCATGGATGCTCTCAGCTGTTTCTCCAAATACATCTGTAATAGATCAGCATATTTTTTCTACAAGTAAAAAAAAAAAAGCAGAGAGATGTCTGATTAATGCAGGAGGCCTGGAGAGAAAGAGAGAGAGAGACAGAGAGAGAGAGAGAAATGCATGTATAATTCAGGAGGCCTGGAAAAAATCACCCAGGGACACCTGGGTTTTAGGTTCTGGAAGCCCTGACTCACCTGCAGGCTACATGGGGTCAATTGCGGGGCAGAAGTAGCCCTAGGCTTTTAATTGGTCAGCATCTCCGACAAAGGCGGGGCTATGAGTATATAAAAAAGATGCTGGGAGTGGGCTGTTGGGTGCTTTGTTGGTGCAGGCGGCTGTGGGTCGCTTGGGCTTTGGGAGCAGCATCCCAAGTGTTCTAGGCAAATTGTTTGGTAGAAGATTCTTAGCTAATGCGGGGTGGGGATGGAAGGGCTCCTGGAAGACTTCAAGGAAGATTTTGAGTAGATTATAGAACTGAAAGATGAACAAACAAAACCACTAGCAAGCTAAGCAGAGAGATCAAAGAACTTGAAGATGGGGAAGCTAATCTTTCCTGCAGGCAGAAAAAGTCCTTAGAGAAAGTGGTGAAAGCTTCTTGAAGTCCCGCTCTGCCTCAAGGCATGAAAAGCGCACTAGGCCTTGTTCTCTACAAGGAATTCTTAAAACCTAAGCTGTGATCCTGTCTCCCTACGTAGCTTGTCTTCACATCTCCTCAAGGGTTTGCTTGATGTTCTAACCTCTAGTGTTAGGATAGCTAAGTACTCCCAGGAACTCTCTCAACTAAGGAATTATTTCTAATGCAGATGTAAGTCTACAAGTCTTGCCTCCAGCCTAAGGTTCAGGAGCAGTTTGACTTCTGTTTCTTACTCAGAATTAAACCCAGCTGGCAAGAGTGGCTAAAGCAGGCTATCAAGCACTCCCTAGCTTCAGGTTTAGCCAGGAGCTTAAGTCCTGACAGGAGACGCAGGAAATGGTAATCACACTTGAGCTACATTCTCTGGGAGGGAGAGGCCTTCTTCCAGACACTGAGAAGCAAAAGCCTGAGTCGCCTGCTGTGTTCACATCAGGGGCTCGGTGCTCACAGCAGCCACTGGATGACGGGAAAGGCTGTTGGCGGCAGCTCACCTTCCACCTACTGGTGGGGAGTTCCAGGGGCCGGGGTCTTCAATTTGACTTGCCTGAAAATGGGTTCCTAATATCCGGCAAAGCTACGGTGATCGGGGGAACCTTTGGTTAGCGGTGATGGCAAATGTAGCAGTGTGGAAGGCTCCCTTGGGCTTGATGGGAAGAGTGATCAGCTGCCTTCCTCACAGGGAAAGGGGGATGAAGTGGACAGAACAGGGCTTGCTGTAACTGACAGTGATGGCTCACAGGTGTCCTGTAACATGTATTGGGACTGCTGACCTTGTAGGCTAACCATAGCAGCGGCCTAAAAATTAGACTGTACCCCAACACCCCTAACTGCCTCAATGTGCTCAAGTGTATAAGACCAGCACTTTTCCTTGCCATCTCCATTCCAGGGCAGCCCATCTGTGGGAAATGGGACAGCATGGTTCCTTGCCTGCATGTAGAGGCTCTAAACAAGGAGTGTGGTTCTCGACTGGTAATCAACGTGAATTGCTTGCCTGTGGGACCTTTGAAGCTGTGTCTCACAAGCAATAGTGCTAGTAAAATGGCTACAGTAGGTGGAGGGGGGTGGTCAGCCAGAGAAGCACCCACAGGTGAAGCTGGGATGTGGCCGTGCTTGGCCTCACTTCTCCATGGCTGATAAAAAGCAGCTTCAGCTGATTGCCCAGAGTCCTCATCCACACTCGGGTCTCTTGGCAGCAGAATCTTTCCACTTTGCCAGAACCTGGCATGTTAGTGACCTCGCTGCACTCGGTGTTCAAAGGGTGGTAGTTTGGTGTATGGTATGGAAGCTTCTTAGCAAGCAATCCTACTACTGTAAACCTTAGACATTGCAGTGCCATGTAAATACGCAACTTTGAGTCTAGAAGCACACCAATAGACCAGAACTCAGTTGAATGTTGCCACCTAATGAAGGGTGCAGTTAACTACCAGATATGGACCCAAGTAGACCATCTACAGTGTGAGCTTTCATCTGGTCTCTGGCTAAATTGTAGTTTCCTGGACAGTAAAGTTAAGCCACAACTACAGAAAATGGGCTGAATCCTGTAGCTTCCTGAGCAATGAATCTGAGCAGGATTCCTCCTGTAAGTCAGGTGGCCACATTGCCAATTGATGCACTAGGATTTAAATAGCTGAATGTTGTCCTGGCCGTGTTGTCTGTTCTCAGGCCACTGGGCTCGCAGTTAGCTTGAATCTTGGTTTATTTCCTGTCTACAGTGGCTTGAAAGTCAAAGCATACTGTCTGTGGAGAGCTTTAACAAACTGCTGAGCTCTGAGTTCAGTTCTTCTGCTTGTCTGCCTAGAGCCTCTCAAGGAAGCTGAATAAATGCCTACCAAACTGCATGTAGCTATTGACAGTGGAAATGGGCTTCAAATTAGTCCCAAAGTGTAGGGACAAGGAAGTGGAGTCTGCAGTTCTAGAGAGCACGACCAGGTAAACCTCACTCTGAAAACCCCTTGACTTGCAGAGGGATCCAGAGTCTCATGTCAGATTTGAGGGTGGCTTTACGTCACCCTGAAGTCTTAACGGCTTCTTGCTGTACAGCAAATATAGTGGTCCACTGTAGGTACAGAAGATGTGTGCCAGGAGGGTGGGCCCTTTGTCCCTGTTTCAAAGGGCTAGGAAACATGAGGCATGGAGGCAGTAAACTGCCTAGTAGGCCTGTTACTTCAGCTTATTGCAAAGATGCTAGCCCAATTAGCATGATCAGCTCCTGATGAGGGAAATGCCCATCGTGACGTCATGACACTCCAAAACACGGAAACCCACATCTGGGCCTGATTTGGTACTGTGACGCTTCTGCTGGATTGAGCTGTGTGGCTTCCATGACACTGGAGGAGTGTCATAGATCTGGGTCTCAGGTGGGACTACAGTGGAATTTAGAACAAGGTCTCAACAGGGAATGTGAACTTTCATTACTTGAGTCTTCACCCAGTGAAGCAAAGTTGCTCATGAGAGCTGCTCTCTGGCAGGTGGTGTCTTACAAGGATTTCTCTTGTAAATGAGCCATAAGTTTGGTGACTTAATCTTAGCTGTACAAAGTAAAACGCACAAGGATTCTTGCCAAAGCATGACAGATGGCTTGGGTTTCTGGCAGGTGGATGTTATTGAATTCAAGTGCCGGGCCCTTCTAGGGAGTCTTAAGAACTAAGGGTGAATGTAGTGGCCAGAGGTTACCAAATCTAAGGAATTCCCTGTGAACAAGTGACTCTGGCTGGTAGCCAACAACTCAACCCTGTTTCTTGGTCTGAGGGGTTGAAGATGGTAGTGAGCACACTGCAGAAAGAATCCTTATACTCCAGGGCCTCATGATGACCGACTAGACCTAGATGTGTTTGAAGGTATTAAAGTGTCGACGGCAACACTCAGCTTGCACAGCCACCAGGAGCAGAGCAAGGAGTGCTGGCTGGGAACTGAGACTGTCCTATCCTTGTTCCTTGAGGGGAATGCTCAAAGCCCTGTTGGTGTACAAGTCGGCTATGCTAACCTCTTCACTAGGGTTCCTCCTTGTGTCTAAACCTTGGTGTGTCTTGGGCACACTTCTGCTTAGTGAAGTCAGAGGCTTGAGCACTGCAGGAAATGGAAAAATCTTTCCTACATGGAGGTTTGTTAATCGGTGTCATTGTGAGCTTGTAGGCAAGGTGTCAAGCCCTAAGTGGGAAAGAAGATGCCTGGAAAATACCTCAGTGTGGCTT